GAGAACATACGTACCCTGTGGAGGGAGAGAGGATTAGGAGAGAGGAGCTGGGATTTGGGCTCAGTCTGTCAGCGCTGGCCGGTCATGATGCTGGTTTGTCTTTCCAGTGCTGAGCACGAGCTCTGCTGGGAAGCTGCAGCTTTCCTCCGGCAGGCACGTGGCTTTGGCGGGTGTTGGGTCTTTCAGCTGTCGAGGTTCTGGTCTCCAGGTCCTCCCACCACAGGGAGGGGGTTACTCTGTCAGCGTGCACAGACTGCTCCAAGTTTTGAAATCCAGGAGTAAAACACAGCAGGGACAAGGGAGGAGGACAGCTGGGACTGAAAAGGTTGTGGCCAGCAGATTAGGAAAAACCTTGCTGTCTTTTTTTTGGAAGGGGCTGCCTTGCTCTAGGAGGGGCTGCTTCAGGCTCTCCTTGGCTGTGGGTGGAGTTATTGTGGTACAGAGACCTTTGTGGTGAGGTGCAAATTGAAAACAAAATGATACTTTCCTCAGCACGGGGCCGTGGGTTGCAGCCCCTACCGAGAGCGAGTTCCTTCTTGGTCCAGCTTGGTGACCCTTAAAATTCTCCAAACTCTTACCTCTTAAAATTTAGTGCAGTCGCTGTTTCTCTTTCTCTAGGCCTTGTCAAGACTGAGCGAGGAGAAAGGTCACGATGAAGAACCAAGGCGGGGAGACCAAAGCGGCCCCACGGCCTGCCAGCTCCTCCAAAATGAGCAGCGGTCTGGTGCTGGAGGAGGGCGACTCGCCAGAGGCTGCAGCACCCCTGGAAGGTGGGGAGTCACCAGGGTCCGGGGTGCACCGCTCCCTGCCTGCGGCTGAGGGTTTCGAGCAAGGAAAGAGTCCGGGTGTTGCTTTCTCTGCATGAGAATGGGCCGCTGCATCCAGCTCTTTTTGCTTGTATAAGAGCCGCTGGGATTTTCAGGGCAGAAAATCCTTGTTTCTTCCTATTTCCCTGTGTGCACGGTGCTGAAGTAGTTCCTGCTTCCTGACCCAAGCGTGGAGCAGATTCTCACCTGAAAACGACGGGTTGTTGTTCGCTGTTTAGACCTTAATGGTCCCATTCAGAAAATGTGAGGCAGCTCTTTGCTTGGGGCAGCGCTGTGTGGAGCGATGTGCCTTGTTACTGGTGCTTCGTAAAAATAACTCTCTCTGGAAGACGAAAACCAGCTCTAATTGAGTAGGTGATTGGTTAAAATCCACCCTGCCTTGTATTCTGATGCCTTGTAGGCGTGGGATGTAGGAGATGTGCAGCGAGTAGAGTTGGTTTGATAACCGGCTGCTCCAAGTCTCTCTTTTGGAGGAGCTTCGGAAGCAAA